TTAGCCGCTATATGGAAGCTCCGACATCTATCCATATGAAGGCCGCCAAAAGGATTCTACGCTACCTAAAAGGTACGATTAGCTTTGGATTGACTTACTCATCTTCTAAAGATTATAAGTTGTTTGGTTATAGTGATAGCGATTGGGGCGGAGATATCGATGACCGTAAGAGTACAACCGGGTTTGTACTTTACATGGGGAATATGCCTTTCACATGGTCTTCAAAGAAGCAACCAATTGTGACACTTTCGACTTGTGAAGCTGAATATGTTGCCGCTACGTCATGTGTATGTCACATCATTTAGCTTCGAAGATTGTTGAAGGAAATTCACATGCCGCAAGAAGATGAAACCGAGATTTATGTTGATAACAAGTCGGCCATTGCACTTGCAAAAAATCCCGTCTATCATGACCGAACCAAACATATTGATACTCGCTACCATTTTATTCGTGAATGTGTCGAGAACAAAGAGGTCCAAGTGAAGTATGTGAGGTCACAAGATCAAGTTGCGGATATTCTTACAAAAACTCTCAAGCATGAAGACTTCAAGCGATTGAGAAGAATGCTCGGAGTTGGAAATCAAGTTTAAGGGGGGATGTTAGAATGTAAACTTGATTTTGGGCTAAGTTAATAATTGATGTTTGTTGTAATGGGCAAAGCCCAAAATAATAAGGAGTGTTCTAGAGGAGAAATGTTCTAGAAAGTTTCTAGAGTGTGAGACTTCTAGAGACATTCTAGAGAATAATTAATAATAGAGTATTCTAGATAAGGAGAATTCTAGAGTACTCTCCACCATTTATTGAGGATGTAAGTAGTATAAATATGTGTAGTTGTGCTCATTTGTAATCATGCATCAAGCTAAGAAATCTTCAAGCAATAAAATACAAGTTCTCTCTTCTTCCATCCTCTCTTCTAATTAGCTAAAAGCTTTTCCTACTTCCACAATTACCTTCATAACGTCCTAAAATACTTAGCCTCTACCTGTAATATTCCAACAAAGCCGCAGTTGAAGAAGCAAGTTGCGAGAGCGAAGAAGATAAGTCAGAAATGAATATTTTGTTTGACTGTAGGGAAATAGTGGGCTTAGACACAATTATCGGAAGGCTAGTATTTGGGCGGAAATGAAATTTCAGAGGGAGGGATTTTTTCAATTTTTGGGGGCGAATATGAAATTTGAGAGGGAATGAACTTTTTTTTGTTTGAAATGAAAATTTAGAGAGACAAGAGCTTTTTTGTACATGGAATAAAATTTTCTTAGTACTAGTATATGTCACGCCCCGGACCGCATTCGAGTCACGTAGACAATCGCCGTACAACCCGATAAGAACAACATTAGTTCATCCTTATTGAATCATATAAGGCGTCCGATAGATTCAATTGTCAAACCAATTAGTAAACACATACAATCAACATCAATATCGTAATCAAAGAAATGCGGAAATAATATGTTTGATATTTAGCCAGACGTGGCAAACATGAGCACGCAGGCCCCCAACTGTTTAAAGGAAAACATTGTTCAAATATTCATGAGCAGTTTACAAATTTAAAATAAGAATGGAAGCACAAACCACGTCTTCCTTCTTAATTAGTCACCCTAGGCAAAGGTGCAGGTAGTAGGACTCTATCCTCAACCTGGAAAATGTGAGGGCCCCCGAAGGGGTCAGTACTCCATAGAAGTACTAGTGACAAGCAGGCTATATGAATAATAACTAATGTTTCAGACACGAGACCCAAAAATAGGGTGATATATATATATATATAGATGTCTCTCATCAACCCGATGATACATACTGTATATATATATTCGTAAATACTTAACATGTAGGTCATTTGCCTTAAAGAGTCTTTTAGAGATAAAGTTCTTACCTGACTTATCTCACTCCTTTCCCGGATTCCTAGCTCACAAACTATGTTCTACATTCGTAATATCCTACTGAGTTTCAGGATCATTTACCGTCCCGGGGATACTCAACCCCAACCGAGTTCAGGATCATTTACCGTCCCAGGGATGCTCAACCCCAACCGAGTTTCAGGATCATTTACCGTCCCGGGGATGCTCAACCCCAACCGAGTTTCAGGTTCATTTACCGTCCCGGGGATGCTCAACCCCAACCAAGTTTCAGGATCATTTAGTGTCCCGGGGATGCTCAACCCCAACCTTATTCCTTACCAAACCCTAACCTGGATATGGCTAACCTTTCATCTCTTAACTATGGACAATACCTAGCCCTATAGTCATATAAACATCCTTAATAACCAACGTGGACGGTTCCCACCTGAACGGTCCACGTTACCCTACTCAAAACTGCTCATTTTGAGCATAACCCAATACCCGGTCGGGTATCCAACCTTACCCGGTCGGGTATGGTGAGGCAGTAGCCTTTGGAGCCAAATTTACTTGAGACCCGGTCGGGTCTATGCCCATACCCGGTCAGGTCTAGTGTGGCAGTGGCTTCTGGAGCCATTTTTAATCAATACCCGGCCGGGTATTTACCCATACCCGGTAGGGTATCACCTTTGTCTTGGAGGTCAACACCCGTTTGACCGCCCAAATGAAGTCTGATTAATGTGAAATTTTATACACATGTACTTCTTGACGTCCTTGATCCAAAAATACCATTTTGGATCCCTGGAACATCATACATAATAAGTTATCACATTTATAATCATCAAACATACATAACATGCTTTTCAACTATGTTTTGTGTATAATCATGGCATAAGCAAATACTTGATTATCTTTAATCATTCCATAAAACATATCCTTGATTAGTTTAGGTAATCTCATGCCTCACGCAAAAGTTATAAAGCATAAAGCCGTCTTCTCACCTTAGTGAAGCCTTTAAGAATTTATACCCTCCCGGTTGAACTCCGGTGAAACTCCGTCGAACTTTGTCTAGCTCCGGCGATTATTCCAGCGACTCTTTGAACTCCGTAAAAGATCTAGGAATACCTTAGGCAAGTTCCTAATAAGGTTTCATCATCAGAAAACCCATATTAATACAAATAACCTCTAAAAGGTTATTTTCTGACGAACCGGTCACTTTGGCCTCTAAGTCCGTTCTTGGACTTAGAACTACCTTCCAACCCCTCATTCTATAATTCTAAACGTGTAGAACGATCCTAAGGTGTGAAATATGATTATATAATCATATGAGAAGATTAAAGGAAAAGGAATGGGATTAATGAAGTCATTACCTTGTTAACCTCAAGTTTCCTCCCTAACCTCCTCTTTTCTCCCCTCTATTTCTCTCCTTCTTCTTCCTTGAGCTTGGTTCGAATGGCAGTGGAGGAAATGAATATTTGCAGAGCTGCTCTCTTAAAATTGATTGGGTTGGTCGAGCATATGGTTTAAGGGGGGAAGGACATGGTACTTTTGGCTCATTCATCAATATTAATGAGAGTATGGCCCTCAAATGTCCTTTGATGTCATTTCCCTCAAGTCAAACCCCTCTCCTACTCCTCCCACGATCCCATCCCTCCAGCCGCCCAACCCCTGTATTTGTCTCAAATAATTTCGTGGGGTGGCCCCCACTCATGTGCGAGGTCATCCCTTTATGTCCCGGTGTGTACAATCGGCCCCGAAAGTTGTATTTCTCGGATTGTTTCAATTACATTTTATTTTATCGGGTCGGATAAAATATAACACATGTCATCCATCATTATTGAACCTTATAATGAATATACATTCCTCGACTTTAATTTAGAAGTCTCCGAAATTCCTTTTCGGGCTGTTATCTGATAAATTGCTGATACTGATAATCGGGCCTCGTTGGACCAACTGGTCAACCCTATGCCTTTGCCACGGTCCAATTTGGATATCCACCACCATATACATATTATCTAGGCCAAGATGAATATAATATGTGGTCCCGATAATATCGGGCGGCCCCCACTCCCGCTGTGGACCCCACGTGAATTTTACTATTCACGTAAAAGAAATGATAAAAATTTACAATCACGTAAAATGCGTTTACTCATTTCTCAGGGTTCAATACATAATTTAATAAAGTACAACTACTTGGGAGCGGTGTTACGGTATATGTTAAATATGTAGGATATTTTTAATTATAATAAAATTTTGTCGTCTCCTGTGATCTAGAATGTTTTTAATTAAATTGGAATTTTTTGACCTGGTCTGAACTAGTCTGTTATGTTCAGGTAAAATTCAGGTTTCTATGTATTTTATAACTGTCCAAGTCTATCTGATTTGGTTTAATCTATTCTGATCTAATCTGGTTTAGTCTGAGATTTTTCGGATCTGGTTATAACTGTCCACTTTCGCCTTTAGATTTTTCGAATTTGTTTGAATTATTTTTACAAATGATTTCGCTAGTATCACTTTTTCAGTGGACTTTCCGGGTGACAATGGTGGCTGGAAACAAAAAATAAAGATGGTCTAGCGATCGTGTTTTGTTTCCACCAGATACTCCATGATAGCTGGTATTTTTCTGTAAATATTTCGGGACACTTTTAAAAATCGGAGTTACTATTAACGATTTTTTTCAGGCGTTTTTAAAGGCGTGACCCTCTTGTGATAATGGAATTCAAACACATGAACCACTTTGATAAAAAATGAAACACATGACCCTATCTGAAAATGATCTCAACCACAAGTACCATTTTCGTACATTTCCCAATAATAATTTAGGACATTAAATTAGGTAGATTAAAATAATAAATATGAAGTATATGCCTTTTAAAATATAAAAATATAATCAAATTGATATCCTTATTTGTTTTTTTTTCTAGAGATGCATAAAGGACCGCTATTCCTCTCAAAATTATTTTGCTTCTCGAAAAGCACTACAATCGAACCAACTCCCTCTCTAATGCTATTAAAAATAGGAAAATTTTATGGTGCATCTGCTTTAGAGGATGTTTTGGTGCATTCCTGAGTTGGCATAGTCTCATTCGTTGTTAAATCCACGTCAATTTAAAAAAAAACGTCTAATATTGCAAAGTGGTCCTTCCCCAAACCATACACATCTTTTCATGAAAGAAACTAGGCCAGACAGAACGGTCAGAAACTAGGGCAAATCATCAGGAAGAGGGGGCTGCCGGGGGCTGCTAAAGAAACTTGTCTGAGAAAACAGGGGTGCCTTCTTAAGGAAGAAACAAGCGTCTGTTAAGGTCGCACCTATCTGTCAAACGAAAGGCCGGACTCGTCATAGATTTAAGTATTGCATTTCGTTTTTATTGAAATAGTGTATTTCTGTTTTTGCTTTTAATTGACTTAATGCCTTAACAAACTTCTTCAAATGCAGGTGTTTAATGATGGGACATCAATTGGAAAAGTAGGATTTTCTGGACACAAAAATCAGAAATTTTGGTGTTTAACTCATATTGAAACTTTAAGGTATGTTCATATGCGGGGAGACGAAGAAACCAGGGATTCCAGGGCCAGAGAAATGAAAGTCCGACATCTTCATCTCTAATTTAATGGCTGCTACTCAATCCAAGGTAGGTGTATCATCTCTAATTTCTTCACTTTTTACCAATTATGATTGAAGTCTATGTTAAAGTTATTATCCCTAATTATGATTTGCAATTTTATTGTGAATTAGTTAATGTGAATTCACATTTTTTCATGTGTCATTTAGTTTTCCATGTATTGTATCTTTTGTGGTTAATAACGGCAGATGATCTATTCTTCTGCCACCGGATTGCATCCCTCCAAATTCCAGTACCTTATGAAATGGCTCTTCTTACTGTGATTGATGGGAAGGTGGATTTGTTTTTATGTGATGTGAATGGAAGTTTCTGCTATAAATGTTTGTTTTATCAGTTTTGGTTTTTGACCAGTTAGTTACTTTGTTTACTGATTTGCGATTACACGCGGTTGGTGGTTAGACTAGACCATTCCTAGCAAGGAATGCAATGGAATGGAACGACTGAAGATAAATTCCCTAACTTGAATGTTTTGTGGTATTTTCCCGGTTCATCATTCGTGATATGAATGAATGTTCCAATTTTGCTTAAACTGTCGTGTAAAATTAAAATCACCTTTGTTATGATTACACATCGTATGCCAATTTGGCTTAAACTGTCGTGTAAAATTAAAATCACCTTTGTTATGGTTAGGCCATTGGATTCAATAATTCTTTCTTCTAATCTGATTATGCGTTTAAGGGTAAGACAATTATTGTAGTTGACTTTGGGTCAAGTGCATTGGGGCAAGGTTGATGCTCCCTCTGTTTTCAATTAGTTTATGTTTTAGAATTTGATTTTGGTTTTGGTTTTTACTAGATGAATGCTTTAGGAGTATTTTGTAAGGCCGTGGTTCTTTTTCTTGTATAATAAGCTTAATCCCAAAGTAGTTAATGAGGACCTCTTGCAGGTATACACTTGGTGATTTTGTATGTATGGAAGTAAGTTGTAACTTTTTCTTTTTATGAGCTTCCCTTCTGAATCTGCTCCCAGTCACATCAATAGGATCAATGCTTTTTTCAGGAAGATATATTCAAGAATGAATCTAGACTTAAGTTGAGACTCATATTTCTCACATAGCGCTTGCAGTAACTGGACATCATTCTCATGGCTCGGTTTCTGATATATTACAAGCTGAAACCCAAGCAATGGATTTAACGGATTAGCAGTGTCAAGTCCGAGCCCGAATCCCTTACTTCCTCTCCTATCTGTGCTAGAACCACTTATATTACGGACCTCATCAATAAGAAGAATGATATTCCCTTAATTTAGGTCTCTATGAGGGCAGATCACAAGAAATTGGTATTTGGTGTAGAGGCACTGCCAAGTCAATTAATCACATGTCATGGCAATACATTCAAAACATGATTTGTTTGTATTAGCTTAATCTATGTGTGGCATGCTAGATTATTCCTACCTAAAAATTTGTAATTTCTTGAAACATGTGATGTTTCTATTTAGTAGAGGAAAGGAATGCTTGTTTGTTAGCACTTAGCAATACACAAACTATGGATTCAAGTACGTAGTATTTTTATAGAAACTAAAACAAAATAGGTTAAATATTGATTTTGTGGATCAAGCCATCATATTTGTTAAATTTTTAGTAGGTATTGTAATGTATTTGTGACAAAATGCAGATGGATGTTTCTTTTAATGATTCAATGAGTTTTTTGGATGATGAAAATCAGTTAAGTTCCTATGAGGATGCTGCTTGCGCTGAAAACCAAAGCAAAGTTGATTATAGTGATGCTGAAAATGTTGTCGAAGGAAATGATGAAACACGTTGCCACCATAAGATGATAACAAGTTTGACATGCGATGAGATTAGAGGTCTAGAATTTGGTAGTGAGGAGCATGCTTTTAAATTCTATGAAGCGTATGCTAACAGCCACGGATTCGTCATTAGAAAAAGTTGCGTTCATCGAGATGCTAAAGGTAACATTATCAGACGTTTGCTTGTATGCAATAGGGCAGGTTTGCGTAGTAAAGTCCACTTGGCGAGGGTGAACAGAAAAAGAGAACACCGACCTCTCACACGCACTAATTGCCAAGCTCAGCTTAAGGTCCACTTAGATTACAATACATCAAAGTGGAAAGACTCATTATTTCAAGAGACTCATAACCATGTGTTGACCCCAGTTTCAGATGTCCATTTGATTCCCAAATATCGTGCTTTAAGTAAGGCGAATAAAGCTCGGGTGGATAGTTTGCATTCATTTGGAGTTAGAACTTGTCACATAATGGGCTACTCGTTAGTTCAAAAGGGTGGACATGCTAGTATTGGTTTTTCAAAGAGGGATCTATACAATCACTTTCATAAAAAACAACGTGACATGATTAAAGATGGGGATGCGCGTGTTACGTTGAGTTATTTTGAAGGGAAGGCTGATAATGATCCTATGTTTTATTCAAAGTTCCAAACCACAAAGGATGGTAAGCTGAAGCATTTATTTTGTGCAGATGGGCGTAGTAGGTCAGACTTTCAATGTTTTGGTGATGTACTTGCTTTTGACACCACTTACAAGAAGAATAAATACAACAAGCCGTTGGTAATTTTTTCTGGATGTAATCATCATTCACAAACAACCATTTTCGGTTGTGCTTTGTTGGATGATGAGACCATTGAGACGTACAAATGGGTGTTAGAGGCTTTCTTGGACGCGATGCACAACAAACATCCCATCAGTGGTCACTGACGGTGATGGCGCTATGAGAGACGCCATAAAACAGGTTTTCCCGATGAATTTGAGGAATACTGGAAGCAAACCGTTTCAAAGCATAACCTTGCAAGCAATAAGTGGGTGACGAAAACATATGGATCAAACATATGTGGGCAACGACATATTTTCGTGATAAGTTTTTTGGCCGTATAAGAACGATGTCTCAATGTGAAGCGATTAACGCCTTAATCAAGCGTTACGTTAGAAGAAAAAGTAGCATTTTTGAGTTCACCCATTGTTTTGAGCGAGCTGTACGAGAATATAGAAACAATGAGCGGGAAGCTGATTTTAATGATTCATTTGCAGAGCCTGTGTTGACTACCTCTCTTCATAAGTTTGAGCGTGAAGCCTCAAAATTATACACTATGCAGATTTTTAAAGAAGTTAGGGAGGAGCTGTTGATTGCCGGTTCACTTAATGTTATTGAGCGAGTTGAACTTGGAGACAAATTGTTGTTCAAGATGAAAAAGTATTCCGATTTAGGAAAAGAGCACAGTGTTGTTTCTGATGCATTGAAGACCAATTTATCTTGTGAGTGTCATCATTATGAATCTCGGGGAATACCATGTGCTCACATATTTGCGGTCATGAAATACGAGTTCATGGATGCAATTCCTATTAGTTTAGTTTGTAAAAGGTGGACAAAGACAGCTAAGAGCGAGTTAGTTTGCTCGGATAAGTTGGATGGAGTTGATTCATATGTCATGAAAAGTGCCCGGTTTGGTTCTGTAGCTGCTCTGGCACACAAGATTTGTGATATTGCTTCAAATAAGAGGGGTCTGTTTCTTAACATAACGAATGATCTTTTAAGTCTTATTCACAAGTATGAGACAATGCCGGATAGTTGTAGCAAAGATAAGTTATGCCTTAATCACGTTGGAGATCCGACTATAGTCAAGACTAAAGGAGCGCCGAAAAAGAGAGGGCTTGATAAAAAAAAGAGACGTTGTAGAAGTTGTAATAGTTTTGGCCACACTGCGAAAAATTGTGCAAAGCTTCGTGCTAAAGATGATGACAAAAAAGGCGGTGATCATAACAAGTTATCATCCCCAGAGGTTAGTCATAATAGCATTTTTAATTTATCAGTTTTATGTATTTTAGCAATACACACACACACACACACACATATATATATATATATATATAGATATTATTATAATTATAGAAAATAGTAACACAATTTGATTTTATTCTACAGGAAAAAGATGACGTGACCACTCATGAAATCTATGAGGAAGCGCCTCATGAAATTAGCAGCTCCTTTGTTGTTCCGAATCCTAGTGTACGTGCAAGTACTGATTTCAAATATAATTTTAAAGTTTTTGTTGTAAAAAAGTATATCTTTTACTTGCAGAAGAGAAAGCCAAATGAGAAAGAGCTTGTTAAAAACAGGTTGAGTAAGAAAGCTAAATGCCCTGCGCCAATATATGAGAAGGATGATGTATGTCTACAATTTTGTGTTTTGTTTGTAGTACTCCCTCCGTCCCTTAAAAAAAGTTATATCTGTATTGCCCTATCTGTATTGCCAATGTTAGTTAATGTTGTTGTTTGTGTATAATGTTTCAGGTGATAGTGAGTGGGAGATGATAGTGAGCAGGATGTGGAACTGTCGGAAACACTACAAAATTAGTTATTGGGGTTTTTTTTCCTTTGATTTTAGATTGTCAAAGATGCATGAGATTTTCCATTATTTTGGTGCATATACAACAAAAGTTGTATAAAATTTTGTATAGGTGGAATTGGAGTTTGATTAGGTGGATTTGGAATTTAATGGTACAATCAAGAAACGAGAGAGTTGTATACATTTCTGCTTTTTTCAATGATATGTTTGTCATTGCTTCTTGCATCTATTTATGTAAATAGATAATACTATCCTCCGTTTCTAATTAATTGCAACACTAGGTTCGGCACAAGAATTAAGAAAGATGCCAAAAGTAAATTTTTCTCTATAATACCCTTACTGGACCGAAATAGAGAAAGAGGAAAGAAAATTGTACTTTAGTACTATGCAGAGGAGAGTGTCATAAAGTAATACTCCACCCACTTGTTTTTCACATGACATCATCCAAAATTGAGAAGGAATCACAAAAATTTAAAAACCAACAAGCTTCCCTCCAATAACTTACAACACGTGACTTTATAACTAGTCAACCATAACATCTTGTAGCATTACATCTCCAAAATCTTCTGTGAGGAGAAATTGAGTCACCGGAGAAGGAAAAGAGAAGGAAAAGAGAACTTGCTGCCCACCCTTCCTCCAAAATCTCCAATCATGTAAAACTGCCAAAACACACATGAGCCGGTGAGAAAACGAGTTTGAAAATTAAACTGGGTCTATATTCATTAGGGGCATTTAAGGAACTCTACTTATTTTTCTTACTAAAATTGGGAGTGTTGCATAATATGAAATTTCCAAAAATGGCAAGTGTTGCAATTAATTGAGAACGGAGGAAGTACATATTAATACTTCACTTTTATAGTTTAATACATAATTAAACTATAATACTATTAATATATTATACATATATGTGTATGTTCTATTAACTCAATACTTTTCTTTTAAAACTCATACTACGTTTATGATGCATATTTTTTGCCATTACTTATAGGGAAAGTTCCCGAAATAGGACTAAAACAGTTTGAAAATTTCAAAATAGGACTGTCATGTTTTTTATTCCCAAAATAGGAATAATAACTGTCATGTTTAGAAAATACTGCTATCAAATACAAATACGAATATTAGTATATTTGATTAAAATGTTAAATCAAATATATTTGATTAAGGGAAAATTACCATTAACTCTCTGAGGTTATGTCATAATTATTAATGCAACCTTGCATTTTCAAAAATCAATTAGTTACCCACTCACATATGATCATTCTGACTAGATGCCCCCACATGTTAATATTTGTTAAATTAAATTAAATATAACTCTTAAAATCAATGAAAATTGTCTAAAAATGAATTTTAAAAGTAAAATACAATTAATTATCATAATTATTAATCACTAATGAAGGATTTATGAGTATAAATCAATTAGTTAACGATCAATATTTTTGTACTTAGCTACTCGATTGTAAAATAAATATTAATGAAAGTAGTTAAGGTAGAAGACTCACGAGTCACGAGCTGAGTAATATTCATGAGATATATCAAAAAAAATGTTTGAAATATTGTGATCAAAATTCTAGACACCTCTTCATCATGGATATAAAAGTCTAATTTGTCATTCATCCGGCTGAATTAATATGACATTTATTTCATGTGTATAAAATTCGTGATATTTTATATCTTACTCGTGAGTATTCTCTCTTAACTGCATTCATTAATATTTATTCCATGATCGAGTAATAAGTAAAAACATAACAATCAACAACAATGACTTATAATTGTGATATTAAATTGTATTTTACTTTAAAATTTAAATTTATAGACAACTTTCATTCAATTTAAAGGTTATATTAAATTTAATTTAACAAATATTAACGTAAGGGGGCAAATAGTGAGAATGATAAAAACTCGAGGGTTAAGTTATTGAATTTTGAAAATGCAAGATTGCATTAATAATTATGACATAACCTCAGGGGGATAATAGTGATTTACCATTTGATTAATAATAGTGATTGTATTATTAATAATTAATAGCAATAATAGTAGTAATAACATTATGTTGAGGTTTATTCCTTCAACCCACATCAACTACTAGCCCCGAGACTGTTCGCCTATCTCGATAATAAGAGCTAAGATAATTGCTATTGTTAGGAAGAATAAGTTGTCAACCTTTTACAATGAAATAAATGCTACTATTTATACTACCATGTGGTAGGTGATGCTGCTGATGTGGAGGATGGTGTTTGGATGGCTTCTGTTGGGAATATTATATGGTGTTAAATCTAGTTAGTTATCTTTGTATTTGTGTAGTTATCAATTAAACGTGTAATACGGGCCACAAATGTGTATCAGCCCGGGGGCTTCCTTGTAACCCGTAAGTTAGCCAACTTCTCCTATAAAAGGAGGCTAACTTACAGGAACTAAAAACTTATCGAGAGAGGCTGAGAGTACGAAGAGGCGAGATAGAGAGAAATTAGGGTTGCCGCTGCTCTCCTTCTCCAGGGAGAGCAGCGGACAGTTCATACGGTATACCAGATTCGTGTATAATATCGACATATCTTTCTATCTGCTTCTTCTTTAACTGCTTAGATTGTTTGTATGTTAAGATCTGGGTTTATCAATTGGTATCAGAGCCGAGGCGTGAAACAGGTTAGATCTGTCTGCGATTTTTTGGATCTAACGAAGAACTACTCTGTTTTTCTTCTGTTTTTCTAATATGTAGAGATTTGCTCCTGTAATCTTGTTTGTGAACGAAATTTTGTAAAAATCATACTGTTGGACTCGCCTTTCAAAACCGATCCAGCAACATACCTTTTTTTTCGTTTTCTGCAATTTTTATATTTCGAAGATCTCTACATTGAGATCTCGAAATCCTTTTTTTTCACTGCCGCATAAATGTTTTTGGCTTGAAATTGATACAGGAGAATCTCGACCTTCAGGGCTTTTCAGAACAGGTTTCAGATTTTCAAAAATCGATGTTTTCATTTTGCAGGATTTCGACATTGAGGATCTCGACATCCAAATCTCGAGATCGAGGTTTCGATTTTAAGGTCTCGACTTCTGGTCTCGACATTTGACTTCTCGAAATAATATTTCGAGTTTCACTTCTCGACATCTCAAATCTCGTGATTTACTTCTCAACATTTGAAATCTCGAGATTTCAAAACTCGACATCCTAATCTCGATATCAAATCTCGAAACCGGGCCTCCTTTATCGAAATCCTAGATCTCGATATTCAGATCTCGACATCTGATTTTCGACATTCTGCCTCTGAAAATCTTTTGGAATTTTGAGTTTTGGGATTTCGACATTTGGGACCTTGATATTTTGGATCTCGACATTCTGAAGATTTCGAGATTTTCAAAATTTCTCGATGTTTTGAATCTTTCAAAGTTTGCAGTTTCTTGGAACTCATAATTCGAATCTTGACATTCTTCGCAGTTCATCGAAGCTTTACATTATAGGATTTCTGAATAATTCCCTGCTTATAGATGTTTCAGGAGTTTTCGATGTTCTGATGTTTTTCAAACAGCAAGTTTTCGAGATTATGAGGTTTTCGAAACTCCAAAGTTTATGATGTTCCAAACATTTTGAAATTCTGCAGATTTCGATATTCTCAGGTTTGTTTTGCAGGTGGATTTCGCCATTATTCTTCGAGGCAACCTCTAGATTGTAATCTCGAGATTTAAAACTCGAGATTGTAATCTTGATATTTAAAACTCGAGATTGTAATCTCGAGATTTAAAACTCGAGATTGTAATCTCGAGATTTAAAACTCGAGATTGTAATCTCGAGATTTAAACCTCGAGATTGTAATCTCGAGATTTAAACCTCGAGATTTAAACCTCGAGATTTAAACCTCGAGATTTAAACCTCGAGATTGTAATCTCGAGATTAGGATTTCGAGGTATTGCCTTAGAATTTTGTTTAAAATCCACCTGCTCTCGATATTCAACATCGAGAACCTCATCTTCGAAGAAATTCCTCAAAAACTCAAAATTAGATATTTTCTGCGACACCGCACTGTTTTGGCCATAACTTTTGACTCGGTGATCCGATATGAGCAAACTTTTTTTTGTTGGAAAGCTAACGAAAAGATCTACATTAATTCTTGATCTATGCCCCAGAACCCATTCTCACGTGCCCTCACTCGCAGTCCTTGAGGGTCAAAACTTAGGCAAATCTGTTCAAATTCTTTCATTGTCAACCCTGAGGTCAAAGCTTTTCTAAACTTCAATTTAAAGGTCTGAAAATCGTAGATAATTCAATCTACCTCGCGTCAACGGTCATCTTACAACAATCAACAATCAACTGCTGAAGCCCCCCTGACTCGTCAACATTATGTGATCATCAATATGCTGAAATTCTACGGTGAGCTCAGGAAAACCGTCATGTGTGGTACATGTTCAGATTGCTCCACACACATGGTGGGTATGATAAGCTGTGAGCAATCAAACCTTGCACATTCTGAGGGGGAGTTTCAGTTTTCTCCTCCTGGCGCCTTACACTAACAAAGCAAGGAATCTCTCAACGGATGCAACATTCTAGGGGGAGTGTTCAAAGTTATCCTCCCCGGTGCCTAACAATGACAAAGCATACCGAGTGCTCCAATTGAGGGGGAGTACAGAGAGAAAATGAAGAAAGTAATGAGAGAACATGTCACTATGGCTTAGTAAACCCAACTAAGCCTACCCAAGGGACAAAGCCGAGCGTAAGTGCGTGAGTGAGCGAGTGAGTGAGTGAACATTATGAGCATTAGGAAGCAAAAGGCTCAAGTGAGAAGAAAAAAAATCATCAATGATGAGTCTGCTACCTCAATTGCCTGCTATGAATTGAACATTTGCTCCTAGCCACTGAAATACTCTGGACTGTCCCCATAGGTTCAAGACTGAATTTATTCAGATCCCGGGTAGAAGTCGCTGTATTTTGTCCAAACGGCGCATGCACAACCCTACCATAGACCACTCACTTGTCTCCCAACAGACAGTTGTTTAATCATAGTTCACGGGGAACCACATCTCTCATTACTGTCTCCTTCCGAGGCAAGTAATACTGACTACAGTGGCCTCAGCCCCATGCCACTGAACTTTCATTGATCACGTCGTGTCTAGTTACCTCACTCTCAAATGTTTTGAATTTTCTAGGACACCGACGCACTTTTTGAGTCAGTTGCAGGTCTTCAAAGACCCGCGAGAACTTCCATAGGTCT